TAAAATGAGGTGACAAAATTGTATTCATTCATTTCAAACTAAAATATTTTTTAAAGTGATTTACAATTTTTCAAATATCGTTATCACATCATTCTTGTAAGATTTTTTGTATAAATTTTTTATTTACAAATTATTTTTTAATTATAATAAATTGTAGTTCATAAATAAAAATGCAATTATATCATAAAAATTGTGATTGTTTTTTTTTATCAATCAGTAGGATATTTACAAATATGATAAGACAATTATATCAAACAGACAATGATAGTCCAACAACTAAGTGGTTGTTTGAAAAGTACTAAATAATCATTTTTTTTTTATCTTTTTATAAAAAGATATGTAAAAAAAGTAAAGAGATGATATGATAAAAATAAGATAAAAAAATAAAAAGATAATTTTTTTAATAAATGACAAACAACCTTTAATACCAACCCAACAAACCAATACTAATAACCAATGTCAGAAAGAGTCCATCGTCATGAGAAGAAATAAAACTCAATACAACGAAATTTCCACAATGTGAGAAAAATAAATCAATCTTTATTTTTAGTAAGAATTGATCCATTGACCTCCTTTCAATTAGGCACATACCTGAGTGACTAACTGATTAGTTAAAAATTTGTGATTAGTTTTTTGAAAAAATAAAGTGAAATTAACAAAATAAAAAGATAATTTTACCCTCATCTTTTTTGTTAGGTTTTTATTCTTGGCAACCCCGTTTGACAAAACTCATTTTCAGATGTATTTATTTTCGTTTTTTTTATTTCAGTGAGACTTTGAGTGTTTAGATGCGAATCCAACCCGAATCAAGCCTTTCAGAGAAGTTTTGTGATGATAAAGCATTCAAGATTGCCACTTCGCTGATTATGACGGGGATCGAGCTGCCCGGTCAACTCGTTATATTTTTCCAGTTTTTCTAGTTTTGGCCTTCCCGCTCGAGTGGGTAAAGGGACGCTCGAGCGGGGATTGGAAGCTCATTTTTTAGTTCAATCATATAAAATTAGCACAATTTTTTATTTTTAAAAAAAGAGGCTTTCACGGCGTTTCTAAAAACGTCGTTAAATATTATATCAACGGTTAGATTTTTCAAAAAGAGTACGACGGCGTTTTAAAAAGGTCGCCAAATAGCATGGTGATGTCATAGTGGAACTTTTAGTGGCGTTTTATAAAAACGCCGCCTATAGTAATATAGCGACGTTTCTAAAGCGTCACAAAGTTATAGCGACGGCCGCATCTTCGACGCTTGGCGCAAAACGTCACAAAATGTTTAGATGGCGTTTTTGAGACCTATAGCGGCGTTTTTTAAACGCCGCTAAAACCCTCATTTCCAGCAGTGTTAACAATTATAGTTTAGTTCAAAATCACATTAATTTTTTGATTATATTTAAATTATAAGAGAATAAAGTATTCCAACTTCAAATCACAAAAGAGCAAAATGAAATTTTCCCATGTAAGAATTTGTGTTGTGGCACTCCAAAGGCAACCTATTCATCTTCTTTGACAACAGCAACCTGCAACACAACACCCTGCAACACTTCCTAACTTGTATTATTTAACAATTAAAGGGTGATTTAAGATATTCTAAATAAATATATTTTTTAATTTTTTATAAAAAAATATAAAAAGATAAAAAAAAGTGATTAAAAAAATATTAATAAATGTTGATTAATATAATCTAAATAAATATACAAAAAAATATATTTTTTTAATTCATACCAAGCACCTACTTATACTACGGTGAGTTATTGGGAAAATTATTACTTGATGGTGTGATATATATTAGGGGTGCAACTTGGGCGGGTTCGGTCGGGTTGGGGGTCTGTCCAAGCCCGACCCGAATTGTATTTGGCACTGCCCAAGCCCGCCCAAGCCCGACCATGAACCCGAACATTGTTGCCCAAGCCCGGCCCAAGCTTTGTATTTTGAACTCGGGTTGCCCGAATTGCCCGAATTGCCCGAGTTCAGAAACCTGTAGGTAGATCTAAGGGTAGACATAAAAGATGCTAATCTAATGGTAGAAAACTAACCAAAAAAAAATAAAAAATAAAAATTAAGACTAAAATTGCAATTCGGGCATCAAAAATCTGCTCAAGCCCGTCCAGATTACAAGATATAGTTGCCCAAGCCCTAAAAAAACTCGGGCTGGGCTCAGATTGTCCGGGTTGAGCCCGCCCGAGTTGCACCCCTAATATATATCACATTTTTTGGTGATGTAACGTCACATGTCGCTGACGTGGCACTAAAATGTGATGAACAATATTTGAGAGCGCTGAAAAAGGGAGTTTTAGGTTTTGTTTGGAAAGTAAGGTTTTGGATTTTTTTTTTGATTATTTTAGTCATAAAAAATAAAATAAATTTTTTAATTACAAAAAATAAAATATCACATCTAACTCATAATTTTTACATTCTTCCTTTCACAAAAAAATTAAAAAAAGTCAAAAGTCCTTCTCAAATCAAACTTTTCAGCCCCAGATTAAAATAATAAAAAAAAATCAAAAAGTCTACTCACTTTCCAAACGAAGGCTTAATAGTTTTAAGTGTCCTCTGAGTCTCTAATGTGATATTTTACTCTTGGTGTTGTATTTTTTTTATTGAATGTCATGTCATTAATGATTGTTTTAAAATTCCAAAATATAAAATGTTATAAACTTCAAATGAATTATCAAATATTTTACCAAATCTCTCACATTAGTATGGGACCCACACACATATAATTTGTATGAATCATATACCTAGTTGAGAGATTTGATAAAATATTTAATAATTTATTTAAGATCCTTAACCTAACTCTTTCAAAATTAATCAGTGTGTTTGGTTTGAATTTTCTGAATTAAGTTTTTTAAAAATTGATTTTTTTGGTTTTCGTATTCTTTTGTTTTTAGTGAATATTTTTTAAATTTTAAACATTTTTTTTTTTACTTTTTTAGATGCACCTTAGTTAGATGTATTAAAAAAATAAAAAAATTTGTGAAAAAATACTTTAAAAAAATAATAAATACATAAAAATATAAAAAACATATTGAATTCTTGTATTTTTTTTGTATTTTTGGTATTTAGTGAATTTTTAAAAGATTTTTTTTACAATTTTTTTACTTTTTAGATGTATTTATATTAGGTGTGTCTAAAAAGTAAAAAATATGCTTAAAATATTAAAAAAATTCAGTAAAAATAAAAAAATATAAAAAATAAGAGAGTAAAATTTTTTAAAAAATATTATCTGAAAAATGAAAACAAGCCCGCTGAATAGTTTCTATTATTGTTAAAATGTGATACATGTAATATCGTCGTTAGCGTGGCGCACCACCACGTGATGCCGAATAATGAACAACTTCTTGAGTTATTGGTACCATTTATTATTGTTATTTTTTAGTTCTTTTTTTTTATTTTTTGGTCACAAACATCTTTTCTGTATTCCTACATATAAACGTATTCATTTTCATACTGGCTTTTCATTTTTATTTTTATTTTTTGTATTTAATAAATTTTTTGAAAGTTTTTTTTATATATTTTTAAATGTATTTAGATTAGATACATCTAAAAAAAATTAAAAATTAATTAAAATATAAAAAAAATATTTATTAAAAATATAAAAAAATACAAATTGAAAACTCAAAAATTATTTTTAATTTCTATATTACTAAACAAAGCAGTGTTTGTCACAAAACATTATATTCATATTAGATATGTTATGATTGCATGAAACAACCAACTGGATTCTTCATGAAATTTGATTGTCAATTTCTTTAGGTCCAATTTTAAAAATTCATCAACTAATGTGACCTACTATTATTGATTGACCGTAAATATTGGGGTATCTGGTTAATCCGAATAGAATTTAATCTCTTTTTCCGAAGTGAAAGTGATCCATAATGCTTTTGAGAGGACACAAAAACTTACAGCAAAGGTACAGCTCAGTTATTTTTGCCCAATTGTGGATGAGTCCGGATCCTCTCCAGTCCCCTCTCTCCAGCAGTTCTTCCGGCCAAGGATTGAGATAAAGTCACGTCACCTACAAGAAAATAAATGGTTTAGATTTATTTCTTTAAACAAAAACTTTCAAAACACACCCACACTAAACCATTTCCTTTTCCCTTACACTCCTCTCTCTCCCTCACGTCACTGCAGCACACGGTCACATCCCATCCTCTCTCTCTCATTTTTGATAAAAAATTAAAAAATTATTTTAATCTTTTTCATAATATATATATATATATATATATATAAAAATTAATATCATTGAAACTATACTTTTAAAATAAGACTAATATTAAATATATTTAATAAAAATTTAAAATAAATAAAAAGTAATTACTATGTTTAGTTATGCTTTCAAAGTATTATTTTTAAAATATAAAATTATTTTGATGAAAATAAATACATAAAAATCATATATTTTTGAAATTCTCAAAAATAATTTTCATTCCAAAAAAAATATGAAAATAATTCAATCTGTGTATAGATGTAAATTTTTTATTTTCTTCTAAACATAAATTCAATTAATGTTATAAAATTAAAATTTTATATTAAAAATTATATATATAAATATTATGAAAATAAAATAGAAAAGATTAAAATATATTTTTTTATTTTTTATTAGAAATCTGATAGAGAGAGTGTGTGATTTTATTTATTTATTTTTTTGTTAGAAATGTGATATATATATATATAGAGAGAGAGAGAGAGGGGGAGAGAGAAGAGTAGAGTGAGTGTGTGCTGAGTGTGCGTGTGTCAGTGAGAAATCTGAGCCGTATGTGCTGTCAGTGTGTGTAAGTGGGTGTGTATTTTCTTTTTTTTAAAGAAAGAAATCTGAGCCATATATTTTCTTGTAGGCAACGTGGCTTTATCTGAACCCTTGGCCGGAGGAACGGATGGAGAGAGGGGCTAGAGAGGATCCGAACTCATTGTGGATAGCCATTGGATCAATCCAATTAATTGATCTTGGCCTTCCATTTTAGGCAAATCAATCTTGACCGTAGAGCCATTCCCCATTTGGCTATATAAGGGCACCTATCCCCCCCTCCTCATTGCACATCAACTAATTACTACTATCTTTTGTCCAAAAAAAAACTCTGTTTAGATTTTTCGAAGTGTTGAGCGACCTACCTCTTTCTTAAGAAAACTCCTCGGATCCTCTGCGCGGTTAAGTGAGCATTCTGATTTTCTCTTTGCATTTAATCTCTTTCACAATAGTGCTATTTATGTTTATTTTCAATCTTTTATGTTTTTATACTTCTTTTTTATATTTGACGGTCATTTATTTTAAAAAGAAAAAAATATTTGGTGACTCAAATTTATATGGTCCGAATAGTTCGAATGTGTCAAAATGACGTCATATTATACTTAAAACGATGTCATTTTAAGTGATTTGAGTCATAATTTTTTGAACTACCTAACATTGTTGTTTATTTTCATTGTTCCGTCTTACAAAAAGAATTCGGACTTATCAGCTTTTGGTCTCCTCTTAAACTTCTTGTGTTTATCCCATCACACATATAGTTTGAATTGTAGTCTGTAGTTGCAAACTATACTACTATGGACAACATTTCTGTAATCAACATTAAAAAAATATTTGTAAATAATTTTTTGGGTTCTTAAAGATGACAATCCAAAATATTAGAAAAGGTGAAATCATTAAATTTAAACCATCCCCTTAAATCAGTAATATTTAAAAGAAAAAAAAGGAAAAAAACTAAAGTTATGTTGAATTTCTTCAACTCATAAATACACCGTCGTGATTCAAGAAATCTAGAGCAAGTCACCATTACCATTCAAGAATTTTAGAGCAAGTCACATGCTCCCTTTAGGTGTGTATCATAAAATTATTGTGGTTTGTGCATAATATAAAGGTTTATGCATAGCACGGATTTTGAATTTTACACTTATTAAATAACTGTGGGATTGATTGAGAGTAGCCAATAAATCAACAAATTAGCGATAAAAGTGGTTAGGATAAAAGTGACATTTGAATTCAAATTAATTTTTTATTTTTTTTGTGCAAGATTTGACAAATTATTGTAAAGTATTTTTAGGAAACTCAAACCAAATAAGGTGTGGGAAGTAATTTTTGCACTCTTCAGTAGGTGCCTCTATTTACACACCACTTTTCATCTCAAGGCACACTATTAATTAATTTATTTTTCATTACAATTTTAACCTTATGTAAAATGACCACAACGAACAAAAGGTTATTATACACACAATTTGTATAATTACCATAACGGACAATAATGAATATAATACACATCAAGAATCTCAAACATTACTTACGTATATTGTCTATTAAAAATCCAAAAATCCTAAAACAAAAACAAAAAACTCTTAAAAAAATAACAAAAAATTACGTATTATTGAAGATTTTGATTGGATTCAATGATGGATGCATCTGGCAATACTGGTTCAGAACAATGGAGCAAGGGAAAAGGTTATTTTTTCATTTTTGTATACTTGTTGAGTGGTAAATTGTTTGTATTAGTTCGGTTATCCAGAGTTGAATACTATATCCATGTTCGACTACCTACAACCAAACAAATTGTATATGTTCAGTTTCATGTGTCGAACATGCTCCAATTATTCGGTTCGTAAGTATCGAACAAATTGAATATGTTTGGTTTCATAATGTTCAACACAGACGGTCCGAACAAATAATTAATGTTCAAGAGAAACCGTTCGAATAAATGATTAATGTTTGACAGAAACATTCCGAACAGATAATTAAGGTTCGAATGTCCAATGTCAAACGGTTCGCAAACTCAAACCTTCAGATACGACTCTCATTGCAATGGAAAAAAGTACATAAAACCCTAAAATTTAAACCAAATGAGAATTCTCACCTACTATATCTACAATGTGGAGTTGTTTCCAACTGTGACGACAACGAGCATCACCGGCTTCTTGAGAAGTCTTCACTAATGGTTTTGTTCACCACTAGTTTTGATGCAACACACTGGGACGACAATCAAATAGAGAATAGAGGGTGTGTGAGTGAGTGAGTAAGGGTAAAGATGGAAGATTGTGGATGTGGTGTGTGAATAAGGGTGGAGATGGAAAGTTGTGGTGTGTATTGAGCAAATTGTTTATTTATCAATTTATTAAAGGTGTGCCTTAAGTAGTGGTGTGCCTTGAGATGAAAAGTGGTGTGTAAATAGAGGTACCCGTCCCTATTCTTCCCTATAAATTCTCTTTTTTTTTTGTCTTTTGGTGAGTAAATTTACATAAATGCCCTTGATAAAAACAAAATAATACAGAGTAAGGGCTCATTTGTTTTCAGAGATAAAATGAATGGAATTGTTAGTATAGGGATTGTTAGTGTAGGTATTATAAGTGAAGAGATTAAGAAAAATTATATCTATTTGACTAGCATAGGACTAGCAACAATTTTTATTTGTTTTGTCATTTTATGATGAGATTAACTATATGAAATTCCATAAAAACCTTTTATATTTTTAATATATTTTAATAGTAAAAATTATATTTTATAAATATATACATATTTTTTTGGTACTATATTATTTTAATATATTGTATTATTATACTAATATATTTTAATATTATATAGCGTGAAGCACCCATGGTGTTTAATATTGTACAATATTAAAATACCCTTACGAGAAGTGGTGAAAAATAAATATTAATATTTTATTATTATATATTTGAAAGATAATTCTTTACAATTATTTTTATTTTGTAAATAAGATGAGTGAGAAGTACAGTAATATGACAAATTACTCATGTCTTCTATTAATATTAACGGATTAACTTTTAATACCACCTCTGCTATGCTAGGGGACTGTTAATTCCCTCATTGGAAACCTTTCATAGTCCTAATGGACTACAAATTCGATAGTTCATTTTGCAAACAAAATCGATAGTTCATTTTGCAAATTCAAAAATATGTTTCTTTTCTTAAAAAAAAATCTCAAAACAATTCAAAAATCAATATAAAAAATTCAAAATCTTTTCCCTTACTTGAAATTTTTGAAAAGAAAAAATTCCAAAACAAGTTTGCAAGAAATAAACTCCAAAATTCATTAATTTTGCTAATCAATTATCATAAAAACTTATCGTTTAATTGAAACTTCTGTTTTGAATAAATTTTATACGGTTGGAAATCTCTTTAAAGTCTAGTTTTGAAATTTTCAAGTCACACTTTCCAATTCCTTGTGGATTATTTGAAATCAATGAAAAACCCCTCACACTGTTTAATTGGCCTGTGTCAAAAATCTCAAAATTCGTACAAATCAAGGGTGAGATTAGGATCCACAAAGTTGATATTTGAAATAGGACTTTCAAAGTTCAAACTATCATTTGATTTTGCTCAAAATGAGTTTCTAACTATTTTTTCAAAATTTTCAGAAAATTGGTTAAATTTGGTGAAATTAAAAAGCTCGTTAATTCAAGTGAATTTCATTTGATTTCAAAATACTAAGCTTAAAACATCAAAATAGATGATGTTTCGAGAATTTTTTGAAAATATATGATGTTTGGATTTGGGAAGTGATTTTTTTCGTCTTTAGTGAATTTTTTAAAAAAAATTCAATTTGAAAAGTGCTTTTAAGATCTACTCGACTAGACGGATAGGGGAAAAAAAATTAAAAAATTTGAAAAAGAAATCTAGAAAGGACAAAAAAATTCAAAAACAGTTGACTAAGTTGTTGACTTTTTTGTTTATTTTTGTCTTTAGTGATTTTTTTTTTTATTTTTTCCAAAATTTTTAAATTCTTCTAAATTAGACGAACCGGAGAAATAAAAAATTTAGATAAATTTTTTTTTAAAAAATCACTAAAAACAAAAAAATTCAAAAAGAAAGATGAGTTTTTTTTTTAAAAAAAAATTGGGAAATATTTAAGGTATCTCCCAAACTATTTAATTTTTTACTCCCTCTCTCACTTGCGTGTGGGACCCATGTAATGTGGGCCTCATGCCTATGCAAGAGAGAGTAAAAAATTATATAATTTAGGAAGTAGCTCTAGCATCACCCTTCAAAATTCTCTGCCCCCCTCCCCCCCTGTTTGAATTTTCCTTTTATGGAACATAATTTTAGGGTTCATCATTAAGAATTTTCAATCAATTTGCTAGTTCGGTTGATTGATTAATACGTAATCTGACGGGTGAAGGTTGAAAATTCTCTGCAGCTGCTACTGAAACGAAATATGAAAGTGTGGAATGTAGTGGCAACATGGGTTTGGTGGACTGCCCTGGTTGGACCAGCTTGGGTGTGCACGTCAACGGTAGAAGATACTAAATTGACACTCCGCTACAACACGGTGAGATTCACCACCGAAAATGCCATCAAGGAAAGCTACACGCAGTTTATGGAAGCTCTGCGAGATCAATTGGGAAGTGGATATGAGGCGCATACAATACCAGTGTTACGTGATGTATCCACAGTGGACACTTCCCAGCGGTTTCTTTTGGTGGAACTCACAAATTTTGGAGAGGCAACCATCACTCTAGCAGTAGATGTCCAAAATGCATATGTGGTGGCTTATCAGGCGGGAGATCAGTCCTACTTCTTTCGCGATGCTCCTGAAGTTGCATTTTCTAATCTTTTCAATGACACGCAGCAATCGACGTTTAATTTCACCGGTAGCTATGTAGACCTTGAAGGCAGAAGCCGCCAAGACAGAGAGGACATCGACCTAGGAATCTTGGCACTAGAGCTCGCCATCTCATCACTTCGCAGGAGCAGCGCCGCCGCTGAAAGCACCATAGCTCGTTCGCTCATAGTTTGCATCCAGATGGTTTCAGAGGCAGCTCGATTTAGATATATCGAGCGACGGGTGCGCCAAAGCATTACAAGCGCAGGATACGAACACTTTCGCCCGGATGCTGGCATGCTCAGCCTCGAGAATAACTGGGGAGCCCTCTCCTATGCAATCCAACAATCCAATCAAGGAGTCTTTTCCAGCCCAGTTCAATTACAAAGACCTGACTATACCTTTTTCAATGTGGACAGTGCGACGTTAAGCATTGTTAGAAACCTGGCACTCATGTTGTTCGTATGCAATATTAACCAAGCATCATCTCAGTTTTCTCCGCTTATAAGATCTGTCGTTGCCCCTGTGGATGATGACGATGATACTTGTGCAGAGCCGGAGCCCATGATACGCATTGGCGGTCGAAATGGTCTGTGTGTTGATGTAAGGGATGGACAATACAATGACGGAAACCCAATACAGTTGTGGCCGTGTGAATCTAATACAGACGCGAATCAATTGTGGACTTTGAAAAGAGACGGGACAATTCAATCTAATGGCAAGTGCTTGACCACCTATGGGTATAGTCCTGGAGTCTATGTGATGATCTATAATTGCGATACTGCCGTGACTGCTGCCACCCGTTGGCAAGTATGGGACAATGGAACCATCATAAATCCCGAGTCCGCACTAGTCCTCAGCGCAGAGTCAGAGAATGCTGGCACCACACTCACCGTGGAGACTAACATCTATGCTTCTCGTCAAGGCTGGCGTGCCTCCAATAATACAGATCCTTTCGTGACGTCCATTGTTGGGTTTATGGATCTTTGTATACAAAGGAACGGGAACAATGTGGGGTTAGGGGACTGTGTGAGTAACCAGACAGATCAAAAATGGGCTATCTATCCAGATGGTTCAATACGGCCTCAGCAGAACCAAAACGTCTGCCTCACCAGTAATAATCATTCCCAAGGAAAGAATATCATCATTTTCGGTTGTAGTAATGGGTGGTCTAGCCAACGCTGGGTGTTTACAAACGATGGCGCCATTTTGAATTTGTACAACGGAATGGTGATAGACGTGAAAGATTCCAATCCAATCCTCCAGCAATTAATATTGTGGCCGTTCAATGGGAATCCTAACCAGAAGTGGCTTCCAATGCTTTGATTGCTCCCATCTCTCTTGCGGTAGGTATATCTAGCCTACTAGCTAGTAGCTAATAAAATAAAATGACATCAAATTATTGTTGTCCGACAATAAGTGCGCTCAATCGTCGTTTGTGTAGTGGCCTACTTGGTTGTTTGTCATTCCCTATGTTTGTTTACATGGGGATAAATTGCATCCTTCGTTATTGAAGTTGTCACTAAATTTCACTTTATGCGTGCCGTTTCTTTGAAAAAAATAAAAATAAATAATGTGAGTCTTTCGGCTGTGATGAATATTTTATGCACAACTAATTACAAGCTCATGATTGAACCTCCATTTCTACTAAAGGAAGCTTGTAAAGTCCACAATTTTTTTTGTGTAACAAGCAAAACAATGATTTCAACAAGAGTAATGCTAGAGACCCCAAATATTCTACCAAAAGTTTTACCAAATGTCTCACATGGGTATAGGACCCATACAATGTGGGTCCCATGTGGGTCCCACACCCATGTGAGACATTTGGTAAAATTTTTGGTAGAATTTTTGGGGCCTCTAGCATTTTTGTTTCAACAAGGAGGCAGCTCCTCTGCTAAGCAGGGGAATATTGGGCTCGTGACATCCATCACAGGTCCCGTTTCAACGATTCAAACCGTTCATTTTTTCAGGCTCTTCGTGTATATTATCTATACAAAAAATTAGATTGATCTGATAATCATAACTTATTCAATTCATCGAATTTGTCACTAATAAAAAAAAATAGTCTAAAATAAATATTAGTAACAAACTCGATGAATTGAATAAGTTACGATAATCATATTGACCTAATTTTTTGTATGGATAATATACATGAAGAGCCCTAAAAAATAAACGGTTCGGATCATTGAAATGAGACCCGTGATGGGCCCTACGGGTCCAGCAGTCCCCTGCTGCAACAATAAGGGAGCTGCCTCCTTTCAACAAAACCCATATCAGGATATACTTCATCCACGGAATAATTTACTATGTATGGAAAAAGACCAAGAAAAAAAATAAAAATAAAAATAACTCCAGAAATAATAACAATTTAAGAATTCTAGTATTCTTCCCAACCAGCACATAAAAAGATAAACTCAATCATAATATCCATAGCCACAATCCTCTTGATTTTCCATACTCTAGTGAAGGTGAATTTAATAGCCACAATTTAATTTATTCCTAAAAACAACTAGATTTTACAATTAACCTTGATACAAGTACACACTTGCACTACAACAAAATTATCTTTTTACGACATCAAATCAACGGCATGCAGCACATGCATGTCATAGTTATTAAATTCTCTTATATTTTACAGTTCTATTTTTTGTAGGTGCTGTTTATAGTTTCTATTCAAAAAATTTAATACTCTCTACGGCTTGTTTTGACTGCCGTAAATAATAAATTTTGAACGGCACATAATCATGTGTCCTTAAAGACATTTTACCTTACACGGCATGCAATGACTGCCGTAAAAAATATTATCCCCAAAAAAATTAAGGCGGCTAATAAAAAGAAGCGGCCAAAAAAGGGAAAAAATATTTCACAGCGTGCACAAGTGTGCAGTGAAATATATATACAATTTTTGTTGCATGTAAAACGCCGTGAAAAAAACACCTTTTAAGGCGTCAATAAAACAGTCATTAAAATCCTTACCAAAAGATTAAGTAAGCGGGGATTATTCCCACAAACAAATTTCCCTAATTTTCAGACTTTATTTCATTTTTTTTCCTTATCGACCACCCAAGCCTCTTTCCCCAAATTTCAAACCCAACTCTCTCTTATCTCCTCTAGTCGTCGTCCTTGTCCTTTTCGTCTGTAACACCCCTGATTTCCTACATTCGTAACCGAATAAAAATATAGTAGCGATACACATTCTCAAACCATAAAGCATTAAGAAATAACACTGAGCAAAAGAACCCACCCTCCGTACATGCATTTTTATAAATATGAATTTCATAACTTACAAGAGATATGATCAATTACATACAGTCCATATTCATTTACAACATAGGATGAATATGGAGTATGTGATTCAAAAGATGGCAAAAGTAAATACAGTGATTGCCTTAAGGCTTACGATTCAAGAAATAAAAGAGGTTCAATCCTTGTACAAATACAGGCTCTACGCCGCAAAATAAGGCTCAAAAGCCATGCAAATAAAGGAACTCCATTCAGCTCACGCATGCCCTTAACAATATTGAAAAATCTAGAAATTCCCTAGATGTTGATTTGTGATTATGTATCAATTTTAGGCAGAATATAACAATCCCAATCAAACAATCAAGACAAAGAGACACAACGATTTTACGTGGAAAAAACCACAATTGGACACCTCCAACTGTGATAAAAAAATCACGGGCAACAGCCACAAAACAATCCACTAAGAAGATTTAAAGGAATTACACAGGTATACTCTCAATTACCTAGCGAATCCACAACGCCTAATTGAACCAACCTCTATGTGCCTCTTCCAACCCGTCTTCACCTCGGAATTGTCTTTACGATGAGCCACTCCGGAATCCACCAAAGCTTCAGGCTCAAATTCTTCAGAATTCACCGAAGAACAACTCTCTCTTTTGTAGAACAAAACACAACCTTTGATGTACTCTCTTTAAACCATGAGTTGAATACTCAATAAAAACATCAAAGAAACTAGCAAAATATCTCCAGATATAAACCTTAAGATCCAAAAATAAGATCTGGAGAAGTTCCTCTAGTGTTGGGAGAAAACCAACTATTTATAGAAAATCAAAGCAATCCTAGTTTCAGAAGAAAACCAACTCTTTAACAAATCTGGAAATCTGGGATCGCGCGGTCCGCTCGAGCGCCCTTTTCCCCGCTCGAGCGGAGACTTCAAATTCTGTGATTTCATACAGGCTCCACGCTCGAGCGTCGGTTTTGCCGCTCGAGCGGCGAATCACACCATCCAGTACTTTTCAGGCGACTGCAGAGATGCTGAGAGCTTCCAATCCCCGCTCGAGCGTCCCTTTCCTCGCTCGAGCGGGAAGGCCAAAACTAGAAAAACTGGAAAAATATAACATGATCGGACAGGCAACTTTGAATGCATTATCAGCGAAGTGGCAATCTTGAACGCTTTATCATCACAAACTTCTCTGAAAAGCACAATTCGGGTTGGATTCGCATCTAAACACTCATAGCCTCACTGAAATAAAAAGTGAAAATAAAATTACAACTCAAAGGAGTTTTGTCAAACGGGATTGCCAAGAAATAAAACCTAACAAATATCCATGATCATGATGCCATATATATATATATATGTTCAACCATGCATGTAAAATTTCATGTAACTACTTTACATTAACACTCAATAACAATGTTCTTCTATCAACAGTTACAATTCATCACCAAGCAACTTCCCAATTCCTTATTTCCAGGCCGGCCCTGAGATTTAGGAGGCCCAAGGCGAATTTTGAAAATGGAGTCCCTCTTACATTGGAAAAAAAAAGTTTATGGATAAAACGATAAGTTACAACAATTTTTTTATTTATTTGTAATCACAAAAAAATTTACTTGCACATATAATCATTAAAATTATAAATAAAAATTTACTTTCATATATTAAGTAATCAGTTCAAATACTCAAAAAATAAATAAAAATATGATCTTGTTGCTTTATAGTTTAGCAATATGTAGTTTACAATTGAACCACAATCAGTTCAATTGGGCCTATAGTATTTGGATATATATATATATTTTTTTATATATCTAACACACAAAATTATATTTGGAGGTCTCTATTTTCTGCCCAAATTTAAGGGCCCAAGGCGCAAGCCTCTTTTGCCTGCCCTCAGGGCTAGCCTTACTTATGTCACAATTTAACGTAATTAACAAATTGCTTCATAATCATTGACCCCATTCTCTGTTTAGTTCCAATTATTCATTTGGTCTCATCCATGAAATTCCCATCACGTCGTCAAATTTACCAACTCTTGTCGGAAGGAACTTGACACCTATCAAGCTCGTGTTTTTGATCTTTCACCGAAGGCACTCTCGCCAACTTATCTCAATCCAATATCACATATGGATTTTTTGTTTTCTCATAATAATTACCGAAGGCTGCTGTGGTCTCATGTTATGAAATGGTGGGGATGTCAGTGGGTTATGCCAAACTCAGTGGAAGGATTGTTGCAGTGGTGGTCATTTTGTAAGATGAAAAAGATTGAGAAGCTGATATGGAAGGTAGTGCCTTTAGCCGTTTTTTGGTCAATTTGGAAGCATAGAAATGATTGCGTTTTTAATGGCTCTCGGCCAAATTTAGAGGATCTATGTGAGCTTGTTAAAGCAAGAATAGTGTTGTGGGTCAAATCATCCCCAACCAAAATGGTGTTCTCTATAAATGATATTGTCTTTAAACTGCCTCAGGTTCAATATTGCATTCAATCTGGAAGCTGAAACTTGTATCTGTGCTATGGCTGTTTTCTGTAAGCTTGTTGAAGCAAGATTAGCGTTGTGGGTCAACTCATCCCCAACCAGAATGGTGTTCCCTATTAATGATATTGTCTTTAACCTGGTCTGGAAGCTGAGCCTTGCCTCTGTTGGTTTTGGTTTTTTGTGTTCTGCTTGTGTTCTGCTTGGGGACGGTAGAGTTTGGGCTGCTTGTGTTCTGTTTTGTGTTTGATTTTGGTTGCTTGTGTTCTGTTTTTGTGTTGATTTTAGCTGTTGCTATGGTTGATTTCTGGGCTAGGTCTGCATGCCTGCTGCTGTGAGATGCTGCTGTGAGATGCTGCTGTGTCTGCTGTGTTAAGTTTGTTTGGGATCTGGCTTTATGATTATTTATCAGGTTCAATAGTGCATTCGGACTGATTCTGGGCTAAGTTTGTGTGTGAACAGGGCTGCTGCTTTGGCTGATTCTGGGCTAAGTCCAGGTATTGCTGATCTGCATTGGGCTGCATTGATGCACTGTGAATGATCTGGTTATGCAGCAGTATTGGTGAAAGTGCTTGTGTAAGGCGTGGTTCCTGAGGTATGATCTGGTCTACTTTATAGATATAGTGGTTAGGTATGGTCTGATGCTGGAATGAAGTATATGATCTGGTTTCATCTGCTCTGGTTCAGTCTGGTTTATCAGTCTGATGCACTGCTGCACTGTGGTTCATGGATGCATTTTTTACACTGCTGCATTTTGTCCATTTCTGGAATGTTGTTCTATATTGATTCACAGGTGTTAAGTCTGGTTTGGTGGATGAGTCTGCACTGGTGTTATGGTGCTTTGTAGTGCTATCTATGTATATATCTGGTATGCTATCTG